TCAGTGCAGGCTGAGCAGTCTACCAATGCTTATGTGCCCGTTCCCAGTTTGTTTCCATGGTACTTGCAGCTGTCCAGGATCAGGCCTCAAGAGAGTTGTGGAAACGAGCTTCCATCAGAAGATTGTGCATGTGTGTGTCCTATCGATTGAACAGTTTTCAACGTTTGCACGGGTCGATTTTGTGAGTTCAATTTTCTATACATGGTGTCACAAGTACAATTGCATGTGCCAGGAAGAACTCTTCTCCAAGACATCGCCAGCTAGCGGGGCCGGAGACTCAGATGTACCAACATGCACGAAGAGTTGCTGCTTTTCAGGCTGCAGCATCATTGTGGCAAACGTCAAAAAGTCGAATTTACAGGCTCATGGGGCAGCAAAGCCGAAAGAAGTGTTTGTTTGCCGCAAGCGATGGCAGATGAGTTCTGAAAACAGGGTGCAGCAAGTGTGGCAAGCTGAGGCCTCCCTCGGACCCGCTCCGCGAAGTTAAAGCTGTTCGAACCAGCAAATGCCGGAACAAACTGGTGTTGCACCCTATGCTTAGTCTGTTGGATTTAGCGAGCACGCAAACTGGCCGGTCAGCTACACGTTTCACTCCAAGCGCCAAAATGCTGAGCAAGTCACTTTGTAATTTAGAGCATCAAAAAGAATGAGTCATAGATGTTGCGCCACCATGAGCAGTCTAGCAGCCAAGTTGTGAACAAGCATTTGCCAAGGTATGGATCGCCTTAAACAACAAGGTCTACGATGTGACGACCTTCCACAGAATCCATCCCGGCGGCAGCCAGATTCTTTTGCAGCATGCAGGGACCGACGCTCGGTTTATTAGTTGTGTGGGTCTGTTTCGCGGCGAGATTGTTCCACAATGCTTGAGATCATATGCTTTGCGATTACAGATGTTTACGGCCAACCAGGGCCATGCCTCCAACCGCCCGTGTGTCATCATTCACTTGAGCCCTCTCAGTCGAAGCATTGCTTGTGTAAAGCTTGTAGAAAAGAATCGTCACGTTTGGGGATTGCTAGCTAGATTACCGAACTGCTTTTGTTTGAGTTTTTTCTTGAACGAGGCATGCCTGATCGAGAGCGTTGCTTTTTGCATGGCTGGAACTTCTCACAGAACTTTTGTCACTCTCTTTGAGTGACGTGCGCAACTTCTGATAAGCATGTTACGGTTTTCCTCCCGAGGCCTGGGCTTACAATTTGCATCAGACAGCTTGATAGGCGGAGGCTGTTTGGGACTCTGACAACGTCAGGTTGTCAGGTTCATATCTTCCGATGTCTACTTGCAGGGCTTGTGAGGTCGGCTTGTCATCTTCTGGATGCTATATTGCATCCTGAACGTCTCCTAAAGCCTTGGCACGGTGCTTCGGGCTAAACAACACGGCAGGAAGGCACGGGAGCTCTTTCCCATGTGACCTTGCCACGCTGTTCCTTTCCAAGGATGCCAGCTCCATCTTTGCAGAGGTTGGGCACTCGCAGAAGGCCAAGGACACTGCCTGAGCTGAGCTAAACATAGCTAAGCACTTTCAAAAGGCGGCAGGCTTAGGGCATCCCACGTACTGCATGGGGCCGGGTGCTCTTCCCGATGGCTACGCAGGACATGGCTGCCAAACGCCTCATTGGCCGCCTGGTGCGACCTGGTGCGGGCCACCAGCTGCAAGGGCCACAGACAAAGTTTTAGCAGCCCAGAAGATGCACAGATGGCTTCATGAGCGGCGTCACTTCCGAGGAGCAGCCCGCTTCTGGAAAGTTAGCCTGGTGCTCGGCAGAGTGGTGCATTTGCTCCAGAGTTTTGTACCTCGTAAAATGCAGTTCAGGCAAAGTTGAACAGTTGCCTTGACAGGCACAACCAGAGGAATCAACAGAAGGCTACTGATTCGCAGCACTGCGCCTGTTGTGCCCTGATCCAGCAGTGGCAACCATCACTGCAAGGTGTTCTGAAAAATCACAATCGAAGCGCGCCAAGCGACCTATTTCTGTCTTTTTGCTGGTGTGCTTTCTTTTTGTTTTGCCGGCGGGCGGGGGGGGGGGGGGATTGCCGTGTGCAAGCAGCACAAGGAAGCGAGACAGGCTCCACGCCATACGATGAATGGCTTTGCACAACATGGAAGCTTGTTAATCATCTGATTTGCAGCGAGCCTGAGGCACCAGACTCCCTGTGACGTCCAAAGCGGTGTCAACGCTGGTGTGTGTGTGTGTGGGTGGATAGTGGCTTTTGGGGCTCATTTAGAGGCCTGCGAATCATTCTGACGGTGGTCAATTCAATGTGCACGGGCACCACTGCTCAAAGAAGCATGCGGCATTTGAGATTTACCATGCAACGATATGACATGAATGTCACGAATGTTGTGTCGGTAAAAGCTGGCTTAAGGCTTCGTGCACCCAACACGACCGAAGAGTTGGTGCTCATACTGCTTGCTCCAGTCTTTTTGCGCGGGCGAGCATTGCCTGTAGACTGGACTTAGGATGTGTGCCTCAACATACTTAATACATGCATCACCAAGATTTGGCTTTCTGAGATCCTCCTTCTTCACTTGAAGTGTTTTCGTGCTGATGAAATTGTGTGATTCTCCAGTGTTTGTTTGTTCGAGAGGTGCGCGTGCGTGCGTGTGTGCGTGCGCGCGTGTGTGCGTGTGTGCGTGTGTGCGTGTGTGTTTGTGCCTCTGTGCGTCTGTGTGTTTGTGTGTTTGTGTGTGTGTGTCTGTGTGTTTGTCTGTGTGTCTGTCTGTGTGTCTGTCTGTGTGTCTGTCTGTGTGTCTGTCTGTGTGTCTGTCTGTGTGTCTGTCTGTGTGTGTCTGTCTGTGTGTCTGTCTGTGTGTCTGTCTGTGTGTCTGTCTGTGTGTCTGTCTGTGTGTCTCTCTGTGTGTCTCTCTGTGTCTCTCTCTGTGTCTCTCTCTGTGTCTCTCTGTGTCTCTCTCTCTGCGTCTCTCTCTGTGTCTCTCTCTGTGTCTGTCTGTGTGTCTGTCTGTGTGTCTGTCTGTGTGTCTCTCTGTGTGTCTCTCTGTGTCTCTCTCTGTGTCTCTCTCTGTGTCTCTCTGTGTCTCTCTCTGCGTCTCTCTCTGTGTCTCTCTCTCTGTGTCTCTCTCTGTGTCTCTCTCTGTGTCTCTCTCTGTGTCTCTCTCTCTGTGTCTCTCTTTCTGTGTCTCTCTCTCTCTGTGTCTCTCTCTCTCTCTCTCTGTGTCTCTCTCTCTCTCTGTGTCTCTCTGTGTCTATCTGTGTCTCTCTCTGTCTCTCTCTGTATCTCTCTGTCGCTCTCTGTCTCTCTGTCTCTCTGTCTCTCTGTTTCTCTGTCTGTGTCTGTGCGCGTGCGCGTGCGTCTGCGTCTGCGTCTGCGTCTGCGTGCGCTTGCCTGTGTGCGTGTGCGTGTGTCTGTCTGAAGCCAAATTTTGAGGAGCAGGGGGCCTTAGGACCTTCGGGCCAACAAAGGTCTGCACGGTTGGTCAGGATATGGAGCCCGGATGCGGGCTCCACGTACCTGCAAGCAAACTTCTTTTTGCTCCTCACGGGGAGCCTTTCCCAGTTTGTGTTTCCCGGCTGCGTGGTCCTCGGACCTGCCGCTCGCGGAGCAGTCGTGAGCCTCTTGCGAGGCCTGCTCAGTCTATTATGTCAACACCAGTCCTGACTGTTTTGACGTGAGCCACGGGTTCCACGAGGCGCGTGACTCATCTGACGTGATTGCTCCATCTTGAGCTGCGAGCGGCTTAAGCCTTGATCCTTCATGCCTTGTTCCACTCTGACTTGATCCATTCTGCCTGGATTCCGCCGTTCGGCGCCGATTCAGCCACTGAGCGCCATAACCATTTTACGTTGTTTAACGTTGTCTTGTTCAACGGCGATTGCCATGGGCACGGCGATGCAGCTTGGTTTATTTTGCATTGAGCCACCTTCGACAGTCGCCAGGGGCTGATGTGCCGTTCTCATGGTTTGTAGCCCCAGGCTCCGAACAGCCGCCAGGCCAAGGGACTGGCGTGCCGTTTTTTCGGTTATAAGGTTCCTGCCCCAGGTTCAACAGAGCCGCGGGGCCGCCCGGGCAATCCGGCTCTTCCTGGCACTCTTGTTTGCTTTGCTTGCGCACAAGCAGGCTGAACGAACGAATGCTACATCTTTTCAGGTGCTTCGTGTGTGTGTGTTGGAGACAGCTTGAAACCAAAAGCCTTTTGAGGCGCAGGGGGCCCGAGGACCTTCCGCGAAGCTCTGCGCGGTTGGTCAGGATACGGAGCCCGGACGCGGGCTCCACGTACCTGCAAGCAAACTTCGTTTACTCCTCACAGGGAGTTTCTCACAGTGTGTGCGTGTAGGCGTATTTGCGTACGCGTGCTTGTGTGTTTGTGTCTTTGTGTGTTTGTGAGTTTTTGTGTTTTTGTGTTTGTGTCTGTGTGTCTGTGTGTGTCTGTGTGTTTGTGCGCGCGCCATTCACACATAAGACAGGAGAGGGTCAACTGCCGCATTCCCTGAGTGTTTGAAGGGCGAGCGAGGCAGCCTTTCTACCTCCTGCCCTCGGTGTCATTTATCGCGTAGGACTCTGCAAGGGGCAGAGAGCCACCTGTCTGGCGCAGCTTGTGCCAATTGGGCCAGGCCATGGCAGAGATTGCGCGAGGTTATATCATTTTGCTATATGAAAAAGGACCGACTGCGTTGCTCTTCTTGTATTTGACTTCTGCTTCAAGGCGGCAACCATGGACATGTGCAGTGTCTGCGATATTCATATCATGTTCAACAACGTGAGGGCGCTACTGGATACGAACAATCCCTCTCGGGAGCCTGCTGCAAGCTCTGATTCCAAAGCATAGGTTTGCCATTGATGCATTGCTGCAAGCCCGGCAAGAAGCATGATTTAGTTCCTGGCCGGGTGCTTGTTTCGAACCGAGACGGGTTCACAGCACGGCCTTTCCCTCAGCAGATTGATCAGCCTTTATGCGTGTTTTGACCTAACTCATAATTAGGCCAAAAGATGCCCAAAACTCCATAGTTGTTCTTTCCGCTTGTCATTCATGGGCTTCCAGGTGGCGTTGGACGGGCTTCGAGATTTCCCCGAGCTCAATGGCCAGGACCTGCATGGGGATTGCGGCCTGTCACATACAAAGCAGGTGCAAGTCCAAGTGCTTTAAGAGCAAATCTCATGTTCGGAGGGTTTCAGTAGGGTTCAGTTCTGTGTTTCTTGTCACTGACGGGCTTGCTAGAACCCACTCGTGGCCGCCTTCGTTGGATACTAACGGGAAAGCCGGAAAGCTGTCATGGAGAGGAGGGCACAAAACAGTTGAGAATCATTCGGGGATGGCGAGCGCAACGAAATCACCCTGGTTGGGTTTGGTGGTTTCGCTCAGAGATGCTCAGAGTCACTAGTGTCGAGTACAGCACCCGCTGCGCCGTGTTCATGAGCTTTACGCTGCCTTGGTGGGCGCTGGCGCCTTCTGGGGCTTAGAGCCATGCTGGGCAGCCTAGCTCCGCCTACGCAGGTTGCACACCTTGCATCCGAAACAGTCCTGGACGGAGTATGTGCAGTGTGGCACTGTTCAGCCTTAGCACCAAGTCGACTCAGATTGTGACTGGCAGTCATACGGCACTGAGCTCCTTCCAGTGCAAAGCGTTAAAACTTGTATTCTCAGGTCGTCCATGCTGGGCAGTCTTTTCGGCTCCGTATGCTCCATCGACATCACCTTTGACACGGAGCAGAATCGCAAGACAGCACCGCTAGGCACTCCAGCGAAAGCCAAACATACCGCTAGCCTGATTCTTGTCTGAGTGATGTGCTCAGAAAGTTAACTGCCGTTTTCTTGGCTTGGCACAGGCCGCGACAAGAAGGGGGAGCGTGCCTATATCTTCACAGATGCGGAGGCCGGGCTTGGCAGTTGGTGCAAAGACTGGGCTCAAGTTTATCTATTTGCTGCCACATCATCTCGTTGACCAGTCTGTCCAGCTCAGAGTGCCATGCTGGAAGTCCATTCCAAGGTGGCTGTTCCATGCAGATATTGATGGTCAAGACAGTAGACACGACTTGAGTCTCTTCATTGAAGATGCGTTGCCTTTGCCGCAGGATGTTATGGGCACCGCAGTTGTCAGCATCCGCCCTGGGAAGAAGATGGATCATCAAGGACGGGATCTAGCTAGCCTCCCTTCAAGACCTGCCTGGATCAGATAGATTCACTTGCTTGGGCAGTGTTTGTTTTTTGTTTCCCCCCGGAATCAAGGGTTTATACTAAAGGGGACTGAATCATGTTCGCATAGGCAATTTTGGCGGAGGGACACATGCACGCGTAGGTATTTCGGGTACATCATTGTTTGTCCTTGCGTAGGCGCCCGCGTAAGCAAGCCTAGGATGCTACAACATGGAGCTGTGCATGTTTTTGAAGCTTACACAGAGCCTACGCGGACGAAGGCAGTTCTGTTTTTAAAATCCAGGCAGGCCCGCCTTTCTGAGCGATAGGAACTTACCGGCTAACACGGAGCGATGCAAATCTCATAGCTCCACGCCTCAAACACTGCGAAACATGAATCTGTATCTTTCCGGGCGGGCCACTGCCACTGCTCATGATAAGCTTCCGGTTTCAGTTTGCAGCTGCCAAATTCAACTGGTGCACCTCAAGTACCACACTTGTACTGAAAATGTTGGAGCCGCAGTTACAAAGCTCGAGGTAGCAAAGCGGTGGGCAAACGGCTTGCAGGCAAAACCGCGTAGGCAAGGAAGATGCAAATGTGTGCAGCGTATAGGGCCCGAGCACAAATCAAACGCTGCCCACTTCGTCCGTTGGGGGTAAGACCAAGTTCCGCTAAGAGGACCCCTGTCAACGGCCATGTTAGTGGGAGGCTAGTTTGATTTGTGATTGCTCAGGCATCAAGGTGGAGCTTATTGGCCAGGCAGGGTCGGAAGCTGCAGTTCAGCAATGCAGCCTGGAACTGCGATGCGTTTATAATTTCTAGGATGTGGGCGCAGTTTGCATTGTATACAAATAATATTAACTGTATACACATACTCGTGTACATATATGCGTATGAGCTGGTAGTATATTACATCCAAACACATAGCTGTAGTGTTATCATGGCTTCTTTGTTGGGGGAGTCTTGTACACTTCAAAACCATGGTCGATGAAAGAAAGTAATCCCAATACAGTGTTGCACGAATTCTGTTCAACGGCCATTTAACAATTTCCAATGCCCCGCTTTTGCTCTCGACTTCGCAGGAATCATCTTCCACACCCTTCAAAGGCTGTGTGCTAAATCAGGCAGATATCCAGCCCAGTTTCGCACGAACTCCCGGCAAGGGGGGGGGGGGGTTCGGGTATCCTCTTCAAACTTCAGCTGTTTCAAATGAGTTACATACGCAGCATCATGTCCAGCAAACCTCTAGCAATTTGTAACAGTTGTTCGGCATCTCAGCATTATATCTCGCCTTGGAATTGTACAAGAACATGAACACGCTTGGCAAACTTGGCACGTGATGCCACATTGACCCTCACAAACATCTATTTGTTGACCGGGAGTTCCCTGTATTGCAGACGGAGTTCTCTTCAAATTCCCATGTACAAGTAGTTCCAGAGGTGATTCCGCGCGGAGTCTCTTGTCAAAGTGTAGTACGCTCACCTAGCATTTTCGTCTCAGCTGCATGCATTTACTTTCAAACCACCAGCCACAACCCATTGGTGCGCAAATGCTGTTGCCAGGTTGACATGATGCTCGACAAGTCCCAGTCGTATGACTTCTTTTCGATTACGAAGGACTCAATAAGAGCCTGCTAGTTGTTTGTCACAGTGCTGGTGAGACCAGAAGCACTTTGAACCATTCTCTGCGCGTCTAACCGCTGCATGTGCACAACAGGTATTCGGTATGCTAATGCTGGGCACGCTTGGACATCCTCAAAACTGCAAATCAATGCAAGCACACGCTTGAGTAGACATGGCCTTGCAGTCTTGCAAGGCATGTAGACGTGACCAGTTGTCATCGCGGGTCACCGGTAGAGTGCAGAGTCGCTTGTTTTTTGCGTTGACGTAAAAGATTATCCCTTTGGTAGTGACACAGCGCGAGAAAGAGCAGATCCCTCGCTCCAGAACGCAAGGGCACAAGAGAGCCAAGACAGTTCCATGCTGGCATGCCCACGAGGATTTAGAACCTCCTGGATCACTATATGAGCAAGAGGCCTCAGAGCAGCCCCTTTTAAGAGTGGCTTACGCTTGGCGATTTGCACCGAGCCATTCCCAATGTCCTGTCACAATCTGCTTGATGACATCAAGCTGCCAAGGTCAAAGCAGTACAAATGGAAGTTTGGAGCTGCCTGTATCTCAATCATGTAGATCGCACAATGTGCTGTTCAGATACGTGGGAGGGGTGGGAGGGCTGGTGGAAGCTTTTGCACAGGTAGTGCTATTCTTCTATTTGTTTCATTGCGAACCCCCACGCCCAGGTGGACAAACAGAACGAGACGTACAGCGGCATCAACGTGAGGCACCGGAGAATTGCCAGTGCTGATGAGCAAAACCTGCTATTCTCAATGGAATGTCAAAACACCATACAACTCGATCTGGATTGTAAGCACAAGGATAGTCATTGTATGTCACTGTCAAGGGCTGCTGATATGAATCTGGTCGAAAGCAGCAGCCGGCCTAGCCTTTGGCCGGCCCCCTTCTAGAGCCAGATTCATAACAACTGATGACAGGCAATCTCAAGAAGTTGCAAGCTGAAGACCAAGTGCAAGCTGAAGATGTTGAGGGGTCCGAATTTGGGACCCCTTAAGTTCTCTAGTGGGTACAACGTCCCACAATGCACAAAGTCAGCTCTCTCAAAAGCTGCCATATAACCCAAAGGCCACCGCCCGGATTAAACCGACTCGAGCTTGCAAGCCCGCTTCCGAGCAACAAAAACACCAAAAAAAGCGCAAACCAAGCAAAATTCACAACTTTGTACTACTACCACAAGATGCCACACTTAGAAATGCGGGCTTTAGCCTTCTTCACTGAACCTTTCCCTGGTGCATTTGCCAACCAGAGCACTCCTGTGTGGTGATGCTTTTTCCGTGCAGGCTGCGCTACTTTGTGCGCCTGGTGGTTCTGAGGAGTTATGCGGTGAACATCACCAAAGAGGCAGGAGGTAAGTTCGGTGTTTTGCTCCGGCAAAGAAATGTGCAGTGGCCAAAGATCAATTGTCCATAGGCTGGCAGTGCTCAAGAAGGCTTCCCAATTCTTGGCCACTCCATTCTTACAGTGGACATGTGTGATGTTGCGTGACGGAGACTGCTCCAACATGTGGACAGGTGGATATGATTGTGCAGAACATTTATCCGCCTCCCGAGCTGAACAACAACATCAAGATGGAGGCTGCACAACCTGCAAGTGTCAGCTTTGTACAAAGCCTTGACGGATGACTGGGGCAAGCAGTCCCAACTAACTAGCTTGCTAGGAAGTAGTGACCTGTTTGCATGTGTGCACTTGGAGGTCGGAATTGAGGACTGCTTGCACATTGAGTTTGAGTGCGGCACTCATGGTTCGCGACGGATTTGGACAAAAGGACATTTCTTAGCAATTCAACCGGTTTGGCGGCTTGCCTGAGGTATGACAAGTCGAAGTATCACATGAAGGATGTCATCATAGGAAAGGCTCGAATTTGCTGCAACCATTTGCCCAAGCTACCAGCTACGGATGCAAATTGAAAACTCATGGCGTGGGTGCATGTCGGCCATTGTTGGACGGTTCGTGCCCAAGAACTCAGCATGCGACCGGGAATCATTTTTGCGTCACAGAGGCGCAGAATACAGTTTGCCCTTTGGCTCGCACGTGCGGGATTGATGTACAGGTCTACTTCCTGCTGGTGCGGATTAAGATCAAGCACATGGAGCTGAACATCATCCGCAGGCACACCCTTTGAGATCTTCGAACATGTCCTCGTCAGTAATACATGTTAAAAAGATACTCCTCTAACTCGTTCAGCTCCGCCCTACTCGTACCCCACTGCAGCCACAACCTTCCTGAAGCCAGTTCTGAAGCATCGCAGCTTTTCTCCTGAATTGAGGCAAAATTGAATCTAACTAGGAACTGGGATGATCATGGGAATGCTGTGGACA